GAGTAGAGATTTGTGTGGCTCAGTCTGTGCACCCACGTCGGACGAGGAGACTGGTACTGTGTCGATTTGTTGGTCGACTGTGGAACGTTTCACGAACTGTGTGGCTTCCACTAGTGATGTTTTGCGAACAGGTTCAGGTGTGGGTAACTCCAATGAGGCGGTCTCGGTGACGAGAGGTGCTTGGACTTGAACGGTGGGTTTAGAGACAATCACATGCTCACTGGATTCCGTGACGTGTGTGGTAACGGAGGTCGCCTGTGTGGCAGTGTCAGTCAGTTGGCGTGGTGGTGGCTGTTTGACAGGCGGTTCTGCGTAGGAGGTACTCACTGACATCATATGATCAGGTTTCACTGTCTTCATTTCTCTGTGATCCACACTGGTCACAACTGGTCGTTCGGTTTGAGTCACCTGTACTTCTCGTTCTGCTACTCCCACTGCTTCCGTCAGTGTGTGGCTGCTGGTCTGTTGCACCTGGTAGCCAGAGCTCATGACATGCGTGGCCACACGCATTCCGAACTGCATTCCAACGTCCTGAGTGACTGGCTTCTCGACCTTCATGGCCATGGATAGTGTTGACTCGACGTAGGGTGCCGGTGTCACATGTGTCACTACTTCACTGGTTGTCTGACAGAGACTTGAGAACTTACTGGTCTGCATAGCGACATTCGACGTCTTCACAGTCACAGGAACCGGTTCGATCTTAGGCTGAACGGTCTGACAAGCCATCTCTTCGGTATTCACGTACCGATGTCCACAGCTGGTACACAGACTCCTCTCGACCATTTTCGGTTCTAACTTGTGTGTGGTCAGACTGACGACCGGTGTGCTCACCCTATCCACTTGCACTTCAGCATTCACACTCGGTCTCTTCACGAAAGCTGCAGCCGAATCAAGCACACTTTCCGGCGACTTCATTAACACACTGGTCGCACTATCCACAACACACACACTTTCCTTCACCGTCTGCACACAGGCTTCCAATGTTTGGATGCGTTTCGGTGGTTCGTGGACCGGAACAACTGGTGTCTCTGGTTTCACTGGTGCATGGATCTCACTCCAAGAATCCACCATGCACAATTGGACAGGTTTGGCTTGTGACGTCGCATCGGTGCGTTTCAACGACAAATGGGCAGCACCGTCGAGTAGAGATTTGTGTGGCTCAGTCTGTGCACCCACGTCGGACGAGGAGACTGGTACTGTGTCGATTTGTTGGTCGACTGTGGAACGTTTCACGAACTGTGTGGCTTCCACTAGTGATGTTTTGCGAACAGGTTCAGGTGTGGGTAACTCCAATGAGGCGGTCTCGGTGACGAGAGGTGCTTGGACTTGAACGGTGGGTTTAGAGACAATCACATGCTCACTGGATTCCGTGACGTGTGTGGTAACGGAGGTCGCCTGTGTGGCAGTGTCAGTCAGTTGGCGTGGTGGTGGCTGTTTGACAGGCGGTTCTGCGTAGGAGGTACTCACTGACATCATATGATCAGGTTTCACTGTCTTCATTTCTCTGTGATCCACACTGGTCACAACTGGTCGTTCGGTTTGAGTCACCTGTACTTCTCGTTCTGCTACTCCCACTGCTTCCGTCAGTGTGTGGCTGCTGGTCTGTTGCACCTGGTAGCCAGAGCTCATGACATGCGTGGCCACACGCATTCCGAACTGCATTCCAACGTCCTGAGTGACTGGCTTCTCGACCTTCATGGCCATGGATAGTGTTGACTCGACGTAGGGTGCCGGTGTCACATGTGTCACTACTTCACTGGTTGTCTGACAGAGACTTGAGAACTTACTGGTCTGCATAGCGACATTCGACGTCTTCACAGTCACAGGAACCGGTTCGATCTTAGGCTGAACGGTCTGACAAGCCATCTCTTCGGTATTCACGTACCGATGTCCACAGCTGGTACACAGACTCCTCTCGACCATTTTCGGTTCTAACTTGTGTGTGGTCAGACTGACGACCGGTGTGCTCACCCTATCCACTTGCACTTCAGCATTCACACTCGGTCTCTTCACGAAAGCTGCAGCCGAATCAAGCACACTTTCCGGCGACTTCATTAACACACTGGTCGCACTATCCACAACACACACACTTTCCTTCACCGTCTGCACACAGGCTTCCAATGTTTGGATGCGTTTCGGTGGTTCGTGGACCGGAACAACTGGTGTCTCTGGTTTCACTGGTGCATGGATCTCACTCCAAGAATCCACCATGCACAATTGGACAGGTTTGGCTTGTGACGTCGCATCGGTGCGTTTCAACGACAAATGGGCAGCACCGTCGAGTAGAGATTTGTGTGGCTCAGTCTGTGCACCCACGTCGGACGAGGAGACTGGTACTGTGTCGATTTGTTGGTCGACTGTGGAACGTTTCACGAACTGTGTGGCTTCCACTAGTGATGTTTTGCGAACAGGTTCAGGTGTGGGTAACTCCAATGAGGCGGTCTCGGTGACGAGAGGTGCTTGGACTTGAACGGTGGGTTTAGAGACAATCACATGCTCACTGGATTCCGTGACGTGTGTGGTAACGGAGGTCGCCTGTGTGGCAGTGTCAGTCAGTTGGCGTGGTGGTGGCTGTTTGACAGGCGGTTCTGCGTAGGAGGTACTCACTGACATCATATGATCAGGTTTCACTGTCTTCATTTCTCTGTGATCCACACTGGTCACAACTGGTCGTTCGGTTTGAGTCACCTGTACTTCTCGTTCTGCTACTCCCACTGCTTCCGTCAGTGTGTGGCTGCTGGTCTGTTGCACCTGGTAGCCAGAGCTCATGACATGCGTGGCCACACGCATTCCGAACTGCATTCCAACGTCCTGAGTGACTGGCTTCTCGACCTTCATGGCCATGGATAGTGTTGACTCGACGTAGGGTGCCGGTGTCACATGTGTCACTACTTCACTGGTTGTCTGACAGAGACTTGAGAACTTACTGGTCTGCATAGCGACATTCGACGTCTTCACAGTCACAGGAACCGGTTCGATCTTAGGCTGAACGGTCTGACAAGCCATCTCTTCGGTATTCACGTACCGATGTCCACAGCTGGTACACAGACTCCTCTCGACCATTTTCGGTTCTAACTTGTGTGTGGTCAGACTGACGACCGGTGTGCTCACCCTATCCACTTGCACTTCAGCATTCACACTCGGTCTCTTCACGAAAGCTGCAGCCGAATCAAGCACACTTTCCGGCGACTTCATTAACACACTGGTCGCACTATCCACAACACACACACTTTCCTTCACCGTCTGCACACAGGCTTCCAATGTTTGGATGCGTTTCGGTGGTTCGTGGACCGGAACAACTGGTGTCTCTGGTTTCACTGGTGCATGGATCTCACTCCAAGAATCCACCATGCACAATTGGACAGGTTTGGCTTGTGACGTCGCATCGGTGCGTTTCAACGACAAATGGGCAGCACCGTCGAGTAGAGATTTGTGTGGCTCAGTCTGTGCACCCACGTCGGACGAGGAGACTGGTACTGTGTCGATTTGTTGGTCGACTGTGGAACGTTTCACGAACTGTGTGGCTTCCACTAGTGATGTTTTGCGAACAGGTTCAGGTGTGGGTAACTCCAATGAGGCGGTCTCGGTGACGAGAGGTGCTTGGACTTGAACGGTGGGTTTAGAGACAATCAAATGCTCACTGGATTCCGTGACGTGTGTGGTAACGGAGGTCGCCTGTGTGGCAGTGTCAGTCAGTTGGCGTGGTGGTGGCTGTTTGACAGGCGGTTCTGCGTAGGAGGTACTCACTGACATCATATGATCAGGTTTCACTGTCTTCATTTCTCTGTGATCCACACTGGTCACAACTGGTCGTTCGGTTTGAGTCACCTGTACTTCTCGTTCTGCTACTCCCACTGCTTCCGTCAGTGTGTGGCTGCTGGTCTGTTGCACCTGGTAGCCAGAGCTCATGACATGCGTGGCCACACGCATTCCGAACTGCATTCCAACGTCCTGAGTGACTGGCTTCTCGACCTTCATGGCCATGGATAGTGTTGACTCGACGTAGGGTGCCGGTGTCACATGTGTCACTACTTCACTGGTTGTCTGACAGAGACTTGAGAACTTACTGGTCTGCATAGCGACATTCGACGTCTTCACAGTCACAGGAACCGGTTCGATCTTAGGCTGAACGGTCTGACAAGCCATCTCTTCGGTATTCACGTACCGATGTCCACAGCTGGTACACAGACTCCTCTCGACCATTTTCGGTTCTAACTTGTGTGTGGTCAGACTGACGACCGGTGTGCTCACCCTATCCACTTGCACTTCAGCATTCACACTCGGTCTCTTCACAAAAGCTGCAGCCGAATCAAGCACACTTTCCGGCGACTTCATTAACACACTGGTCGCACTATCCACAACACACACACTTTCCTTCACCGTCTGCACACAGGCTTCCAATGTTTGGATGCGTTTCGGTGGTTCGTGGACCGGAACAACTGGTGTCTCTGGTTTCACTGGTGCATGGATCTCACTCCAAGAATCCACCATGCACAATTGGACAGGTTTGGCTTGTGACGTCGCATCGGTGCGTTTCAACGACAAATGGGCAGCACCGTCGAGTAGAGATTTGTGTGGCTCAGTCTGTGCACCCACGTCGGACGAGGAGACTGGTACTGTGTCGATTTGTTGGTCGACTGTGGAACGTTTCACGAACTGTGTGGCTTCCACTAGTGATGTTTTGCGAACAGGTTCAGGTGTGGGTAACTCCAATGAAGCGGTCTCGGTGACGAGAGGTGCTTGGACTTGAACGGTGGGTTTAGAGACAATCACATGCTCACTGGATTCCGTGACGTGTGTGGTAACGGAGGTCGCCTGTGTGGCAGTGTCAGTCAGTTGGCGTGGTGGTGGCTGTTTGACAGGCGGTTCTGCGTAGGAGGTACTCACTGACATCATATGATCAGGTTTCACTGTCTTCATTTCTCTGTGTTCCTCTCTCTTCATTTCTTTTCTTTCTGCTGGCACTGGATTATCTATCTCGCTCGTCGTATCCACGATACACACTTTGAGTTGTTTTTGTTTTGACTTGTCTTCATTTCTTGTCTCGTATTTTTGTAATATGTTGCTGTCTTGTGTTTTGATACTGTGATTTTCCTCTCTCTTTTCTGTGTTTTCTGTTTTGTCCATTTTTGTTTGTGTCCAACTGTCATATTGGAATTTTGTTGTTTGTATGCTGGCTTCTATTTTCATTTTGTATATTTTGTCTTTTAGGCTTGATATTGCCTTCTTCTCTTCGTCGGTTTGTTCGTATTGTTGGATATTTTCAACATATATTCCTATTTTTTCCGAAGAACTTTCCTCTGATTTCACTCTACTATGTATTTGTCTTTGATCTACAAATGCGATACTTTGTGTTACTAATTTTGATTCGGTTATCTGTCCAAACATTGCCCTATTTTCTTCATTACTTGTCTCGATGTCGTACATTTCTGACATGGTTGTTTTAGGTGTACTTTCTATAAGGTAGTGCTCCTGTTTGTCAAGAAGTCTTATTTGTTGCTGAAACTGACAACCAAATTCACCTCTTAATCGTGGACTTTCTGAAACTTTTTCATGTGGTTTATGATCATCAGATGTAATTTTATATATTCCCACAGGGCTTTTCATTATTTCATAAGTTTGACAAGCTCTGTCGCCTCTGCCTTTAGATTTCAACTTTTCTACTTCTTGTTGAATGAGCTGATTGAATTGAGCTTCTGTTATCTCTTTTACATGTGCGTACTGCCTAACTGCGTAGATGAAATCTTCAGAGTGCTTTTCTGTTTGTGTTTGAACATTCTCTCTTTGTTTGGTAATTTGACGTGGTTGTTTTCGTAATTCTGTTATTGATTGTGAAGTTGTGGTTATAAGATCTCTAGTACAGCATTCAATGCTTCTGAAGGTTGGACGTGCTTCTATACCTATATCTGTGATTTGAACTTTGCTAGGCCTTGTATGAATTATTCTAGCTGACTCTTCAATTTTAGTCAAACTCTTTGCTTCTTCAACATGCTGCTTTTCTATCCATGTTCTCCGTGTAAATTTTGTTTTTTTCAAAGGATCTTCTGATTGCGTAGATTTTGAAATTGTTGACGGTTTCAAATTTTCTTGATCAGTGGAATCAAGTATATTAGTTTCTTCAGTTGGCGCTACTTCGATATAGACAACTGAGTAGCGCCCACCGTCTTTTGTATCGATGTATTTTCTACTCTTGTATGTTATTGGTTTATCTTTTGTATCTATTGGCCGTTCAAGTGTTAACAACATTTGTTTGTCAAGTGTAGTTACGAAATTTTTATTTTCTTTCAAGAAATCGTCCTCCGATCTTGTAAGAAAATCTTGTTTTAAATGGTATTTTTGATAATCCTCAATTTCATCGTCGGTTGTACAAGAACTACCAGTACCAATACTTTGAATTTCTTCACTCGTAGTACAACTACACACCATTTCTTCATCATATGTGAATATAGCTGGCAGTATAAACGTTTTATGTGGAAATTTTAAACTACTTGTAAAATGTGGTTGTTTAATTTGTTTCGAATGAACGATATATGATGTTTCTGTTTCATCAATCGATTCATAAGTACTTTCTGAATTTATATACTCCGAACCTGAACTTGACAACCATTCATCATCAGAACTTGATGATAATGAATAAATATTAAATTGATTTTTGTCTTTTGTTTGTTTATTCCATATTCTTAATTGATTTAATAAACTATCTAATTTTTTCTTATCCTTCTGAGCTAAATCACTGACAAAATAAGAAAAAAGAAAACAGGATAATAAGAAAATAAAACAATTAACCATATTTTCACAGATCGAAATCATGAGTCAGTTGAAGCTAGACCGCCATTGAAAACCTGGAAGCACTGGACGGCCGTTTCGTCCTAGCAGTGCGCATCCACGATCCCGCACCCCGCGGGACTCGAACCCAGGACTTACTGGCTTCGCGCGCGAGCACTTAACTATTAGACCCCTGAGCCGACATCCAACGGTGTTAATGTCTAACTTCAACCAATCCACGAAGTTGCGCCACCGTACACCATTGTCTTCAGTGAGTTCCTATCTCACAACAGACCTGGTTGAACTCCACTGGTAACGGCTTCTCACTAGAACTTCGGGAGTTTTCCTGAAGTCAGTCACTAGTGAGCAGTTGATTATTATCAGAATGGGTTTTGTGGAGATTTTACAAATTTCACAGATTGAAATCATGAGTCAGTTGGAGCTAGACCACCATTGAAAACCTGGAAGCACTGGACGGCCGTTTCGTCCTAGTATGGGACTCCTCAGCAGTGCGCATCCACGATCCCGCACCCCGCGGGACTCGAACCCAGGACCTACTGGCTTCGCGCGCGAGCACTTAACTATTAGACCACTGAGCCGGCATCCAACGGTGTTAATGTCTAACTTCAACCAATCCACGAAGTTGCGCCACCGTACACCATTGTCTTCAGTGAGTTCCTATCTCACAACAGACCTGGTTGAACTCCACTGGTAACGGCTTCTCACTAGAACTTCGGGAGTTTTTCCTGAAGTCAGTTACTAGTGAGCAGATGATTATTATCAGAAGGGGTTTGTGGAGATTCAATCTGTGAAAATTTCTAAAATCTCCACAAACCTCTTCTGATAATTAACCATATTGTTAAATAACCTGATATATGCCAATTATTCTCAAATCAAATTATTGTGATCTAATTGATTATTGAATAAAGGTCATTTGTTTGTTTTATGAATATCACTTTACTGTGGTTCAACAACTTAAAAATCAAAATGAATTTCATTTCAGTAATGAATAAGTAGAAAATATTGAATTCAAATGATGTTGCTTACTTGACAAGTGTCACAGTTTCCATCATATGAAAACTTTGCTCTTGAAGATCATTGAGTTTTTGTGATAAATCAAGTGGTATAATGTTTTCTTGTTCATATTGTTTTATAGTTCTCATATGAGCCTTTTTAAATAAATAAAAAATTATGCCAAAAATATGAAGTACAATATGAAGTACTATTCATGATTATGTACAAAACATACTTTGCATAACTTTCATTACTAAACATATTTGAGTAGGCTAAATATGAAATAATATACCAATAAGATCACGGAATCCTATTAATAATGTTTGAACGACGGTTAGTAGGTTTAGTAAATTAAGATTTCGGAGTGTTGTAATTGTCATTTAGTTTTTCGGCAGTTAACTCATGATCTGGGGTGTAAGAACGAATATTTTTATTGTTGCTTATCTAAGAAAACCATATACTGTCATATGGCTCCATAGTAGAAAATAAATTTAATTTTGTATGTGCCTAATATAACTAAATTAATTGTCCATCCGGATATAGTTATTGAATCTATACTCCTGTTTGGTTTAGTGAAGACATATATATACTAGAGCGTTATGTAAGTTTATTTGTTTCTTCTTTTTAGATTAAGAAACTAATGGCAGTAATTAAATGTAACTAATAGAACATAAAATTTGCCGGGCGTTTGGCAGGATTATATGAAACTAAAGGTCTTGGTGATAATTAAACGTTAAAAGTAAGCTATGTAAATGATCATAGTTCTTTTAATCTTTAACTAGCATGTAAAGCAACGGGTCGAACAACGGTAATTTAAGTTGGGTAAATAACTTCACTTTACAATCAGTTTCTCACTATAGGCTACATAAAATCATTATCAACTAGATGGTTGTAATTCAATTATCGAGCTTTCTAGCTCCTGATCAGCCAATTAAACCAAACTTATACTTTGTCAAGTTCATCATCTTGTTTCTAAATATCATCTTTCATGGTGAAGGTCATAGGAAGACTATATGAAATCTGTATCTGTATAAATCTATTCGACACTGATTATTAAATTGATTACTAAATAACTTTTAATGTTATCTATTGATTCTCTATCAATGTGATCTTTGTTGTAAGATTTCACCTTTTATATATAGTGGAAATCACAACAATACACAAAAATAAACTGAACTACATATAAGAAATTCATGAGATCTATCACCTCACCTTATAACTACATTTATCGAATTCAGATATTTGCTCACACCTTTCTTTTTATAATTAATTATACCTTATATAATCAATATTAGTAATTAAACCAATCAATTAATTTCAATGGTTGAGATTATGAGTCAATTGAAGCTAGACCACCATGAAAAACCTGGAAGCACTGGACGGCCGTTTCATCCTATAAGCGCTCGCACGTGAGACTGATAGGACGTACGCGCCTCCTGGATTCCACTGCTAGCCACTGTCCATCTTTGCTTAACATAGATTTTCATTTGTAGATCAGATGGATTAGGTTAATATTTCATATTACAAGTATAATAACTCAGTGGTTATTGATCATTATGAAATAACTGGTATTATAAATATATGTATGTATATATAATATACGATTAAATTTACTTTGGGTAAAAGCTAACAACTCACTTTATTCCAATCAAGCAGACTTTGAAATATTGCAATTTCTGTTCGACGTAGATGAATGCTATCTGATGTACGTGTTCCAACTGCAAATAAATTTATAAAGAATAAAATAAATCGATTGACCATACTTTTTTTCTTATACTACTTTTTATCTATTGAGTAGAGTAGTAGTATTCATAACAGAAACGTCACTTTGACACTTAAGATTCAAAGTCACTATTGAGAAAAAACTTAATTTTTTGGGTGGTTTATGCCAAAGCCTAACATCGACTGAGGCATAATTGAAAATCGAAGAACACAGAGGCTTGATCACATACTAAAAACAGCTAATTTTCATTCCGTGACGGAAATTACCTAAAACGTTTTAAGTAGCGTCCCTGCGATTCTAGTATTCAGATATTAATAGTTGCTAAATGAAAATATTCAGTGAGAATAATCTGAAATTAATGTACAAAAATAAATTATCTAACAGGTGTTAAAATTATAGTTAAAGAAGAGTTGGTAACTTGATTCCAATGTTGTCTATATTATGAATTTAGTTGATTCGATCATTTTGGTACAACACTACAAACGTATCCGAATGATGAACCCTTAATGGGATAATGTTTGTTTTGAAAATCACTGACAACCTTTATCTTTTATATTGAGTAAACATTGAGACTCAAGTACATCAGAAACCAACCCATACATATCAAATTTCTAAATACAGTAGCAACAACCCAAGAACTGACAAAACTAGCTAAGTACAAACATTACTAATGAAGGAAAAGAACACACTCCAGCACACTTACAGAGCGAAAAAAAATAAAATAAGTACTTCATTACTATATTTAAAAAGAATCGGCGATCCATGCAAATTCATCGAAAAATATCATTGTAGACCATCAGCAAAAACGAAATCAAATACAGAAACCGATAAACGGATCAACCTTCCATATATAAAAGACATCAGAAATTGGAAAGGCATTATTGAATCTGTTTAGAATAATTGTAGCACATAAACCAAAAAATCACTTCCCTCAGTCTTATACGAAGCGGGGGTTGTGGTGATAAATGAAATAAAGTCAAACATCGTCCATAAAATAAGGTGATCCAACTGTGCGAGGCACTATATCGGACAAAGTGGACGTCCTGCTCGTTTTCACATGGACGAATATCAAGCAGCGGTCAAACGCCATGATATATCTTCGCCTATATCAATCCATGTAGACGCACATTCGGCAGAAAAAATGTTAAAAACTCGGATCAAAGAAACATTGAGGACACTAGAGAACGTTTAGAAGCTTGCGACTCAGGTCAATTAGGAATCAAAAACACTTCGAAATCGATCCGATTTATCAACCAATCAAAAACTCATAAGCAAAGCTAAGACCAAGAGTCAGATCAATGACAGAGACAATCAAAATAAAGATGTAGACAATGACAGGTTAAACGACAACAATAACCAATCAAAATTGAGGTCGATAGAACAAGCTTTCAACCACATAGGGAGAAATTCAAATACTTCACTTTTACTTGAAGTTTGTGCTGATGATGTTGTTCAGCAGAACAACGAAGGCCCCACGATTAAACTATCCAGCTCAGCAAACGAAACTCTACTAAAATATACATCTATAAAAATGTAATCCACAAGTTTAAAGTCAATTTTATAGAATAAAAGTAACAATTATTAATAAATATATGATCTTTCAGAAGACAACAAAATGTCATTTTATTTAATTGATCTTTCTCACTGTTTCCTTGTAGATACCATCAAATTATTTTAAAGAATTAAAACATACCGTTAGGAAAAACTTACATGTCTTTGTTTTATTCCAATGTTCACGTGTAGCATCAATAAGTCGTAAGAATTCCTTATTAAAATTTTCCGCCTCAGCTGTTGGTGGTTCAGTTAAAGAGAATACTAAGTTATTTAGAAATCGTTTAAATGCTTCATCATCATCTGTAGTTAAACCCTATTGATTAATCGAGATGGAATAAAATAACAATGTTGAAAAGGGTGAGAGCAATTTTAGTAACTTGTAATATTGAAAAGTTTAATAAAAGCCACAAAAAGAGGTAACCTCACTGCCCATTTGTGATTCGTTTGAACCTAGAGAGCCAAACACCATGATTCTATGGCACACCTAAAAATCACAGGTAGAATTTTCTCTCTACCGAGTTTTAGCACTGTTACGTCCTTGATCTATCTGCCCTTCCAATATACAGAAGATAGTTTGTCGCAATCCAGGTTAAGGACTTGACAAGATGGTTGACTAGTTTAACTTTGAGGCTAGTATGTGTGAGTTTGAAGTGAGACTACTGCTTTGGGTAGAGAGACGAAAAGTATTCTATCACCTGATTAGTTGACAAGCTTGCGAGAGAGAGAAAACGAGCCAATTGGAACACTACCAAATTTATTCCTGATTCCGATTGACACTCCATTTTGGTTCCAATTCAGATAAGTGCAAAAAGATACATAAATAAATAGGTAACCAACAAGACCACAATGCACAAACAATTAGGACGATACAATTATGTCCAAAACTGGGGATTAGGGTAGAAAATAGAGTACGAAAGATTACGTCTAAATAGCTTTAGGACAGAAAAGGCTATGATAGTAAATCATAAATCAAACGAAAGCTTATGGTCTGTAGAATAAAACTAGGGACACAAATAAATGTTACTATTTTACAGGCTTTGAATTGAATGAAATAACGTCTCCTGAAAAATGGCTTCCGTAGTTTGTCACCGTTTCTTATTTCTCTGTTCACATCAAGCATATTTAAAAGAATGGCTGATATGAATCTCGGAATCAATACAGAAATAGCTTAACTAGTAGGAATGGAAAAGATATATGAATATCATATAAAATGTGGAGGATGGGAGTGTGATTAGGAAACATTTAGTCTATTCACTGTTTACCAATGTATCAATAATCTAGGCAATCAAATTGTTGTATCAGGAAATAGTAAGTTAATATCATGATTAGAATTCTTAATTATTGTCTTAAATAATACCTTCATTTATGAAAAGTATATCATAAATGATGAGAATGCCAGTAGATCAGTAAAAATGTATACAGAAATAATTCATTCATTTATCAAAAAATATATTTTTATAACTTCGCATCCACGAAATATTACACTTTAAATCTCCTCTTAGATGACGTCATATAAACGAGTTAAAGTTCATACGCAATTTGGGTAGTTTTGCAATATTTATAATAAAGTATATATAGGAAAGCAATAAGACATTAACGATATTAAGTATTCTTAAGAATCTTCTTATCATAAAATTCGTACTGAACATAAATATACCTTGTCACATCTTATAGTACAGATAATTCAGGTTTGTAAACGGAACGTTACTTATGATCAATGTTCATTTATCATTTTCTAGTCGATCAAAAAGAAGCTGTTCAATTAAAAGACAATCTAATAGTTGGACTCATGAGTTAATTGAAGCTAGATCACTAAGAAAAACCTGGAAGCACTGGACAGCCGTTTCATCTTCTCAACAGTGCGCATCCACAATGCCGCTTCGCTAGATTCGAATCAAGTGTCTCGCGAAGCAGGATCTTGGATGCGCAGTGCTGAGTCTCATACTAGAACTAAACGGCCGTCCAGTGCTTCAAGATATTCCATGGTGGTCTAGTTTCAATTGACTGATGAATCCAACTATTATATTACTAAAATCTCTACAATACCCTCTTCTCATAAATGACACTTAGTCAAGTTTTGTTATAACATAGGTTAAAACAATCTAAAGATAATAAATTTGATAATTAACAATTACCACCAGTTTTTAACCTGATAATTGTTTTTTCTTATTCCAAATCATAGTATTTATATTCAAAAGAAGTTTATGATATTCTTATCCCTTTCATTGGTAAAGGAAAAAACAAACTCAATAAACTATCTTATCACCTTTTTATTCGCTTCAAAGTATTACGTTACTACTTGTATACTCTAATTTTGACTAATCACATATACTGATATTTATTATTGAGTAACATATGATGATCATTGTTCCAAATTTATAAGCTGTTTTAATCAATTACATTTTTAGTGGTGGTCTAGTGGTTAAGCGCTCGCGCGCGAGACTAATAAGTTCTGGGTTCGAATCTCGTAAGGCGGGGTCGTGGATACACACTGCTGAAGAGTCCCTCAATGCGGCGAAATGGCTGTCCAGTGCTCCCAGGTTTTTCATGTTGGTCTAGCTTCAATCGACTCATGATCTCAACTATTGCAATTACATTTTAACAAATTTGAATGAAATTATAGAATTTCATCTATTTAGTTACCTACTATTATTATTTATCTAGTCACCTATAATTATATCCTATTGTTTTTTAAATACAATGAACTTGATTTAAGTACTTAAGTAATGAAATTGATAATCTTTCACAACATAGTTTGTTTGAAACCTTTGTTATCCTATAAATTTGGGAATCAATTTAGTGGGTTTCACTATAAAGTTAATGCATTCAGTAGTATAATATATATACTACCCGAACTTCACATACATACATATTCGCTTACATGCAAGCAAATAAGTGTGTGTAATTTTTTAAAAATTTTAACAAGCTTACTTTTTATGATGTTTTTTGATCTACGTCGAATTTTAAAGTATTCTCGGATTTCATCATGTTACTACTACCATCATATATGGAATTTCTTTATATCTTAACAGGAGTATGTTTTAACTTACCCTATTTTTTGATTAAGTTACTAACTATCAGTCAATTATGATAAGTATTCGTTTTATGTGGAGTAATTGACTACTATTATGAAAACAAGAAAGATCTTTGAGAAGGTTTAAATGTACTAGCGGGAGAAAATCATAATAGGAAACAAGCGCTTTCTGATGATTATACAGTGTTATTCAACGCTTGAAAGTTGTATATATTCTTTTAATTTAGAAGTACTTTATTGAATATATCTTCAAAGGAAGGTGAGAGGAACTGATCAACTATCTGGTGTTAAAACTTGGCAATTTTTAATTTCTATCAAGTTATTACATATTCCAATTGAAAGTAATGGCATTACATTTTGACTGAAAATGATTTAGGGAGAAAGAATTTAATAATCCACTTGGTATTGTTTGGCTTGTATCTTCCCATTGAGGTTTAAGACTGCAATTGATCAGTCTGTTATTGGCATATGTGCATACTGTGCGTATGCTTCGATATTGCCTTTATTCACAAGCTTTTTGTAAGCAATGGTGAACAGTGGCTAGCAGTGGAATTCAGGACGTGCGTTTCGTCCTATTTGGGACTCGTCAGCTGAGAGGCAGGTACATCCAGCCGACGATTCCCAAATAGGACGAAACGCGCGTCCTGAATTCCACCGCTAGCCACTATCCACCAATGCTTACAAAAAGAATTTAATAATCTATCATAAAAAACACTACTATTTAGAAATGGATTAAACAAGACGAGTCTTTATAAAAACAGATTTTCAGTATAAAATACTATAGTTTTAACAATCTACACGTTTATTTACCATAGTTAATCCCTTTAAAAGGAATATTCTATGGGTTTTTGTTTTTGGATTGAAAATGCTTGTGAAGTAAGAGAATGTAACTAGCCATATGTAATATCAAAGAAATATATATATATATATATATATATATATATATATATATATATATATATATATATATATATATATATACAAAATGTATTCAGAACTTACATCGCTTTCAATAAACCGTTGTAATAAGATTGTGAAAAATTGAAGACAAATTTTCAATTGTTCATCTATTATGTAATTCCAACTGTCCAATATAACTTTATATAGTCTATGAAGGATGAAAATATCGGCATGATGTTGATTAAAATAAAACAATCAGATCCTAAGAAATTCACTAAAATGTTTTATAATTAATGAAAACATTTGTAAAAGTAATTAATAGTTTGTTTTATCCCCGAACTGATTAAGTTTATCTATACAATTTTACCTTACAATATATTTGAATCATCTCTATGAAGTAATAGGAACTATTGAAAGTCATTTCAAAACTTTCTAGACAAATAATTAGCAGATACTTCCTTAAATTTAATTAATAAATATTATGTCACATGATGATCATATAAACTTTTATTCAATAGGCCAAAAATCTGGTGATCAATCATTTTCGACTTATACACAATGTGATTATTATTAAACATTGATAATGGTTCACTTGATATTGTTTTGCCTGAATTTTCCCCATTGAGGTTTAAGACTGTAATTGATCAATCTGTTATTGGTATATGTGCATAGTGTGCGTATTGCCTCGATGTTGCCTTAATTCACGAAGTTTATAAGCAAATGTGCTGGGTTCGAGTCCCAGAGTGAACATGAACTCTGAGATGTAGGTACATCCAGCTGATGAGTCTCGAATAGGATGAAACGCACGTCCTGGATTCCACTGCTAACCACTATCCATCTTTACTTACAATGGTTATTTAATGTTTTATTACTTTTATAATAATAATAATACTGGTTTATATGGAAATGTTTTTTTTTTCAATCTGAATAAATGTTATAGGGAGTTATATTGAAATCGATTGTTAACAAGGGAAATATTTTAGTACTAACTTTACGAAGAACCTTTTAACAGAATAAACTCAGTCTATTTAAAATATATGTGGTCAAATGGGTCAAATTAAATTAGTAATGTGATTCCTTCATGAAAATTTTTAACATAATATATACAAAGGGAATATTTTCAAATATGAGCAAACTATTGAGGTCAATGATTTTGTATCTGAATCAACAGAGATATAGTAGTAAATATAAAACTTAAATCTTAAATGTTGAATACTATTTGTTAGTTATCACTATGGATTGACATCCGAAAGAAAACTATTAAAAGGACGATAAACTATAAACAATCATTTGATCTTATTTTTAAAACTTCACAAAACTAAACATTTACGGCATAAAATAGAATTGAATGTGGAAACTGATGGTCAAAATAGTACATGATAGAACTGGGTCGCTTAGTTAGATTTAGATAGTTAATATTTTATAAGTTTATTCACTTTGCAATATTGTACAATCATCATTGGTTATATATAACTCGTAACCTAAAGAGCTTTTAACAGTTCAATTAGTTAAATCAGATGTACTTGTAAGTTAAGTAGAAATAAATGAGAAATAAATTACCACAATCATCTTCCATCAATAGTAATGTTATGATGGGATGAAAAGTCAAAATTAAATTCATTTACTCATTATCAGTTTAGGGGTTGTAGAGCTTAAGATGTTTTTGATTGAGATCATGAACCGATTGATGTTAAACCACCATTGAAAACCTGGAAGCACTGGACGGCCGTTTCATCCTATTGTGGGACTCCTCAGCAGTGCGCATCCACGATCCCGCTCACGGGATTCGAACCCAGGGCCTTCAGTCTCGCGCGTGAACGCTTAGCCTACTTAACCACTGAGCCGGCATTCAAGGGTGTTAATGTCTAACATCAACCGATCCACGAAGTTGCGCGACCATCTTCCATTGTACTGAGGTAGACACCTGTTTCTACCCGACACGGATTAGCTCCACTGGTCACAGCATCTCACCAGAACTCCGAGAATTTTCTCACGAAGCTAGTCACTAGTGAGCACATGGTAATTATCAGTTTAAGGGTTGTGGAGATTGTTTAGTTTTTGATTGAAATCATAAACTCATTATGACTTTTATTCAACATTAATTCCGTTTAATTCCATTTGATGATTACTCAGTATAGTATTTGTTTCCTTTTCCCTTATGACATTTCATTTTATATAACAAACGAGATTCTTGTAAGAAGTATTTTTCATGTATGTGATTTTTTCTGATTATTAAACAAAAATGGGTGTACAAATCAATATATAAATGAGTGTATTTCCAACTAGACTTGTCATGATTGCTCTTGCTTCTGGCTGCTTGCAGAATATATTTCTCCGTTTCGAATTTGGACTTCGCTCTTTAGTTAGCGAGGCTGGGATGCATCAGAATAGTTAGCTTATTGGTCTTTGGTCACAAAGTTTTTGTTCCGTT